ATCTTATGGTGTTTTTATATCTTAACTTGTTCGATTCGTTCGTGTATGTAACAACGTATTTGAATTTAACGAAAGAAATCTCTCTATTACTGAAAAATTATTACACCTGGGTTTTCGATATTACCAACTAGTCAAAACATTTACTAATTTTTATCATTGGTACAAGGACATCATTCGTAAATATAAATCAACATGCAGACAACTTATACGTTTAGGTATTTCACATCCAATCTTTTATGGTAATATTCTATACAAAGCACAAAAGTGTCGACATTCACCTAAAAAGCTAACCATACCTTTAAACAGACGTATTCAGAAGGGATGTAGTCAGGTCATTAAAGATGGCATATTTTGGTATTACTATTGATTCACTTTTAGGGTCTTTGCATCAGAAAGAACCACATTTATTAGAAAACCAGTTGTTGGCATGATACGGGTTATGTTCTTCTCATATATTTTATGATAGTATGATACTAAACCCCTAACGGGAGGGATTGTGCCTGATTTTCATATAATGAAGATATAATATTTCAGTCATTTTAATTGAGGTCTGGAGCTGGCAGGTCAGTTACTGCTAGTACTTGTCATTTTGGTTAGTTTCTTATGTTACCTATTCTGACATCGGACTTCTTTTGAACTGAGTTTTAATGTGCGTATTGCTGTGTGTTTGTTTATTCTACATTGGTTCTAGGTATAGGGGGAGGGTTGAGATCTCACAAAACATGTCTAACTCCGCCGCATGTTTGCGCTTGTCCCAAGTCAAGAGCATCTGACCTGCAAGTCTTGTATGTTTATTTTTAATTTTAGCTCATTTATTTGTTTTGGAGTTTAGTGTGACGTTCATTTTCATTGAACTAGTACACGTTTTTGTTTAGGGGCCAGCTGAAACCCGCCTCCAGGTGCGGGATTTTCTTGCTGTGTTGAAAACGCATTGGTGGCCTTTGGATGTGTTCTGCTCTTTGGTCAGGTTGTTGTCTCTTTGACACATTCTCCATTTCCATTCTCAATTTTATGTATAGAAGAATGTACACCAATGATTGATCCTACACCAGCTCTAAATGTAATGTCTGTTAGTACACTTTTTTTGTTTTACCAAGGAATTGGTTCGTATGTTCACATAAAAGCAGAGAAATCATCTGATGTATATAGAAAAACTAGTTTCAACGGAGCATTTCATTTATATCGAATTTCAGTCTTTGAGCGAATCTAGGCTTATCGACTTTGTTTCACTCCTGCCAATATTTCATCGTTACTTTTAGGTAAACCCAAATGGGAATAGAAAGATGGTCACTTTTGGTATTCCTCCGACTGTCAGTTAAACCCTTGGCAAAGTGGCGCGTCCGCTTGATCCTGCGGGATGTTTAAATACACAGTGGAGACGTTAAATTCTATGCCTTTTTTTACAGAGAGTCAAGCTCTCTGCACGTTTAGAACCCCTGCAATAACTCTGTAAGGGTCTGATTTAGGCTTTTTACAAGGCGTAATGTCTGTCCTTATCTAATATACCCTCATTTCTGGCGTACAAAATGTTAATCCTGGTATCAATGATGAGTTTATTCCAAGTGGCAGTCCAAATGTCCTGCCTTCCATCCCGGTAGACCTCCTTTACTGGATCCTATTGTGAATTTGCCTTCGTTCTTAACATGCATGAATATTTGCCATTGGACGTAAGGCTATCACCAACCAATCAATATTTTTAAGTTTACTATAATTTAATATTAAATAGTATATCTATTGTAATACTCACATTATTCTCGTAGGGCGCATTTCAACCAAATATGGAACAAATTGCTCACTTTCTGATTATTGAGAACGTAACGAAGGCAGATGGAGGTTACTACACATGTACAGCAACAAACCGTGTTGGATCCGATATTAAAGCCATACATCTTATCGTGATTGGTAAGCTCAAGATATGGTCATCATGGGCATGTTTTTGTTTTTCTCTATGTTGAATCTTTTACCTTACGCTTACAACTTCGACGCGATAGTATAGTACTTTTAACTATAATACATGAACATGTTTTTGCTCACCTGGCCAAGCAATAATGTTTACACCGATTCAGTGGACCAATTTTACTTTTACATTATTTTTTAAAACTTTTATCCGTTTTAGCCACCAGATTTGTTTCCATATTCACCATGTTATCCTTTCAAGCTTTTTTTAAAATATGCTATCAATATTTGCGCAGAGGGTAATGACTCCCATTTATAAATGATTTTGTTTAAATAAACATTTTATTGAAAATTGTGAAGAATCACCCTACAACTTGCAACTTGTAATTGATCGACATTTTTATAGTGTGTAACGGACCTAATACAAGCCGGATTTTATTGTAAAACTTCTATTAATAGAGCACCTAACTGCACCTGTAATACAAGCTAATTCTATAGTAGGAGTACAGTTAGGCACCGAAGCAGTTTTAGTTTGCAATGTAACCGGTTATCCTTTGCCGGACATCAAATGGGAATACAATCACGTAAGAAACTCATTTTCTTCTGACGTAATAAAGATTATACCATCAAAAAGTAAACACAAATATATTTTAAAAAGGATCTTCCATTTTATAGCAATTTTTTGCACTTTTACAATTAAGATTAATTGCACTGTAGTCATTTAAAGTCGCATGAATAAAACCGGATCTTAATACGTCAATGAGACAACAAATAAACAACGTAAAATGATGAAATATCACAGCTGTATTAATTAATCTTGATATAAATCTAAATTGATATCTGTTTTAATTTAAAACGTGTTTTAAAATATAAATCATTGTGTTGTCATGTTAAGAGTACACTGTACATAATTTTTTTATTCTTTTATATTCTTAAAAATGATTCAAACACACCCCCACCCCTGAAAAAAAAGTGTTGTGGGTTATTTTAGTCCAGTTTCAGAATATAATTTTACCATTAAATTTAGAATATAACACAAATGACACAAATAGCCCCCTTTCAAGATACTTTGGCTAGGTCTTTGAGAATGATGAACTTTGGTAAAATATACATAGCTGAACGATGAAATTGAAAATATGAAAGAATACGTACCATTGATTTTTTTCTAGCATTATTTCTTACATTGAGTTAAATTTGCATAAATTTAATTGCCAGAATAAGCAGATTCCAAATATAACCTTTTCTGGTGGAACTCTTCGCATTCCAAACGTGACAGATGCTGCATCAGACACATATATCTGCATAGCGACAAATGATGCTGGATCAGCACGTGCAAATATTATGCTGGACGTAGTTAACAGTATGTAAAGTTTAATTTTTTTATTTAAGGCATGCTGGAACTATTCAACTTCCCAATGTTGTACAAATATTGTTTCATTGTTCATGGCTTTCTATGTTCAAAACTTATTTTGCAAGGAAATGTGAAGATTTTTATTAGTACTGTTTTATAAAGAAATTGCATTAAAGTAATTCTTGCAAATATTGATAGATTGATAGGTGTTTAATCTTTTTGACACTGCCTCAGCACAGAAAGGCAGTACTGCAGAAGTTCTTGCAGAGGCGATTGAAAATAAAATGCCATTAATAAAATTTTCCAATAAATCACTACTGAGTAATTATATCGTTTGAAAATAGTTATATGACATTATTTGTTGCTGTTCGTACTTTTTTCTGGATCCTTTTTGGTACTTATCTGGTTGTCGTCTTTCTGTGGTATTGCACATAGACCTCTTAACTACAATATGAATTCACATTCACAAATAGGATTAAACAAACAAGCAACAAGTGCTTATATTAACGTGTCTGCTTAGACCTCTTGACTTCATTTAGCTCGTTATATGGAACGAGTAACCGTTAAAATGGTTAATAACCTGATTGTGGTTTAACATTCTTTGTGTATACGATATTGCATATTTACTAAATAATATAAAAGGACATGTTGAATGATAACTATGAGAAGATTACCCACTTAACACATGTGTAGTAGTAGCCGAAGAAAACCACTAGTCTACAGGCTTGGATATTGTCAACATCCATATAGTTTTGTTTCTGAAAGATATCACACTCAAGGGTGTCTGGAGAATAGAAATATGGTAATTCTTTGTCTTTTTCTCACCTGCAGTTAAACCTGGTGGGGCCTTCGTTTTTCTGTGCGGGATGTTCAAGTACGCAACGGCCATAACCGGTCAGAATGGGGACGTTGATACGATGCATCAGCAAAAGTCTCTGCATGTTAACCATTGCAACAATTCTTTGAGAGGTTTGTAGGTGGCCTGTTGCAAAGCAAATTTCCATCCCTTCCCAATATACCCTCATTTTCCAGTGACAGACAAAATTTGGCTGACCTTCACCCCGGACTGCCTCTATCAAAGGACCTACCTATTGTATATATTGTTAATTTGTGTTCGTCCTGAACTGCATGAAATATTTGCCACTGCACGTATAACAAACAACGATCAATAAATCATAAAGGTATCAATACCGAAAATCAACAAAAGCGACGAAAAAAAACAACGTTTAAACACTTCCATTAGTGTAAGCATACGCAAACGCAACGAAAATGTTTTAAAGTCAAATATTTTTTATTTGTTCATTCAACTAGAACAATTTAATTTACCTTATTTACTTATATTTAATATTGTGTACATTTTAACAGAGACATAGTGAATGTAGTAGTATATAATTTTTACATTTCACAAGCGATTACACGTCTGGGTGAAAAAAGTCGATACCTAAATCAGATGCAATGCCAACCCAACTTTCATAGAGAAACTAGTTAAACTTGTGAACTACCTCCGAACCTTGTATTACCATCTTTGGTGGCTAAAAATGCATCTGTTATCTGATATTATGTTTTAGTTTACAACCCACACCTGAAGTTTAGTCGGCTTATAACGAAGTTGATATACTAAAAAGTACGAGGTACGAAAATGCGATTTAAGATTGGTAATGATAATCTGTATGTATAATTTACATAATTACCAACTTGGATACATGTATTTAATACTTTAGATCCTTGAATATTAATACTTTTGCAGACGGTCCAAAAGTTGTGCTACCTCCACATTCAGGGTCCTTTCATGTCCACCAGTCTCACAATTTTACTTGCAAAGCTAGGGGATATCCAGATCCCACCGTCACCATGACATTTTACATGGTGAGTAAATACAAAGATATATAATTTAATGATCAGTGTAATCAATGGCATACACATTGGAGTAGGTTCACGAAAGAACAATATTGGCTCTGCATTATACGTACGAAAAATTCAACTTTAATAGTAACAGTAAGATTTGATTCTTGAATATGTAAAATTTTTTGACTTATTCAAAATCAACAAGTTCTGACGAATTAGTCATCATAGGCACTTATATGGGATATCATAATGTTGACAAACTTTTTGGCTAAATGTGTACAGTTTTTACGTAGAAATACATTGGCCACATGCAAGGAACACCATAATGTATTGTCAGGATGAAGCCTAATATACATCTTTGTATAACAAATTTGTTTTGGTCGGAGGGTGTAATCAGTGGTATTCTCAGAAGGAAATTGACCTAACAATGCAATAAAAAAGGGACAATCCAGCCAAACGCCTGTGAAATATTCTTTTGAAACTGTCGATATAGCTTAAATAAAAAAAAACAGACAGCTATTTTATCAAATTTTCTATATTTGAGGTTTTACAAATGACATTTCAAAGTCAGGGCCAATTTAAATCAATAACACATTGTAATGGCCAAGCCGCCTATATTAACTGATGAACTAAAAAAAAAACGTTATCAAGGCTCCTTTCATCCTGAAGTAAAACATGCACAGTTATAAGTACCATTCACGTTCGTTTCGAATTGGAATTTAAAACGATGCCACAAGTAGAGAAAAAAAGTACAACAAAAATTTTGAAATCCAAGGCAAATTCAAAAAAGAGGAATCCATAAAAACTGACAAAATCAAACGCTATCAATTAACCTACGGAACAAGCGAAAAAACAACTGCCATATTTCTGACTTGGTACAGGCATTTTTGGAGAAAAAAATGGTGTGTTAAACCTGGTTTTATAGCTAGCTCAACCTTCAACTTATATGACAGTTGTTTATAGTTCCACTTTATTGACAAAATTAGGTAAACAACCTAAGCAGACATAATAGGTTAATGAGACAATAATTGGGATACAGTAGTCAAAACTGTGTAAACATACATCACAGACATGCAACTGACCAAAACAATCAAATCAAGAAAAAGAGAGAGATAAACCAGCTCTATATAAAACAAGGAGATGTGGTATGTTTGCCATTGAGCCATGGGAATAACTCAAACTCAAATTACATTATATCCAAAATGAATGTTTATCTATTATAACTTACCTTTTCTTTGTGTGTTTGACCCGTTATATTCTTATCCTACATATTGTACACATTTCACAAAACGCAATTCAGATTTTTTTTACAGATAAATATTTTGGAAAAAGGATATCAATGTCTCAACGTTTATTCGATTCCTCTCTGACATACAACATTTGAGAGCCTACATATTTGAGGAAACATCGTTTTTCCGTGTTGCATTTCTCCCTTGTCCAGACTGTTTCAGCGCATTTACTATATTATGTTCTTTTTTGTTTTAGTTTACAGGCCACATAAACACACAACAACATTTGTTAATATACCATAACAATGGAACGGTAATTTGTAACATGATTGATATGCAAGAATCTGGTATTCTGGTTTGCAAGGCAGCTAATAAGTTTGGAGAAGTTTCAGCATCAGCTCATATCATTGTTACACAGTGTAAGTTAGTTTCATAATTTGTGAATCAGTCTTCTTGCTTCTTTGATTTTAATGTGAAACCTAACCTTTGACCGCATATAATTGACCCTGAGGATGACTGGATAATAGACGTATGGTCTTCTTCCGACGGTCAGAAAAATTCTAACCGAAGTTGGGCAAGAGTTTGATTGTGCGTGATGTATATATATATATATATATACTGTCACGTTCAAGACAAAAATCCAATGCAGCATGTAGATAGAGTTGTACGGTCTCTGCATTTTAAGAACCCTTGCAACAACTCTTTAAAGGGTCCGAAGGTCGGCAAATGCAAGGCTTCATATCTGTCCCTATCCCTTACCCTCATGTTCAGGAGGCAGTCTTGTTTTCCGTCGTTGATTTAGGTCTACACCTTTAATAAGACCTACCTATTGTATGTATTGTTAATTTGCTCTCCATATGTACATGCATGCAATATTTGCTACTTTACGTAGAGTAGACAGCAATCAATCAATCGCACAACATTAAAATTAAACGAAAAAAAATGGTACATGCACTAGACCTGCTTTGCGTCTCAATCCTGTATGACAAATGAACACGATTTATCATTTGTCTAAGCCACATTCTTCCTAAAGATAAGTTTATTTCAATTCCGATAAAAGAGCCTTCAGAATGTTAATTCTGCAGCGTTAGGTCACACCCTTATAAATAAACTCATCATAGATAAAAGGATTACAATTGTGTATGTGAGACATGCGTTTCGTCAACAAAAGACTCATCAGTGACGCCCGAATAAAAGAGTTATAAAGGCCAGAGAAAGTACAAAGTTGAAGAGCATAAGTCGTTTATATAACAATAAACCGAAAGGATTCGAATAAACGAACCGGATATAACTTACATATGATACCTTAAGGTAGAAGGGATATACAGTACTAAACTCTGATTTAAGACAGTTATACAATTGAAGAAAACTACAAGGCCTTACCCCCTCTGCCACTAATAAAAATGTCAATTTCGTTGATTATAATTATGGTTTGTTTTATTTGATGCCTTGTTTTTTTTCTATCTGATTTCAGCAGCACCAATTGTAGGATAACGCAGAGCATGTGAAAAGACAGAGACTTGTATACATATACCAAATGACAATAAACTTTTGTGTTTACCTTTTATATGTTTTACTAAAACGAAATAAATACAACTGTGATTATTTGTGTCGCATGATTTTGGTGCCATGAAAATGTACGGATTATAATCTAGATAATATTCTATTTAATATAATATATTAGTTGATTATTACACCAACGACAGGACAGCTTACCTTCTGGAATACCGGAGTGTTACCAATAGTTTTTTTTTATGAGTTCTCATCCCATGCACTATTGTGTTAAATTCTCATGTTTGGGATTTTTACATTGAATTACATTCAGTATAATTGGTATAGTTTCCTCCGTAACACGTTTGCTTATGTGTTCTGGTCCACAGGCAATAGTGCATTTCGTTTGATACTTTAATTGATGACATAATTATGATCCTGAGCATAGTATTACAGGGAAAAGCCTCTTGTTTAAAATGGGATACTGCATGCATGAAGATTTTCTATAGCCATTTTAAGTAAAACTGATGTGTCGAGATAATATTGACCTTGCGACATAAAGTTTATATTTGATGATATAGTAGAAAGTCCGTATTCCAGTGATTGCAGTGATTGACGTATTTGTTTCTTGATAGTTTTTGCGCTTTTAATGTTGTCATCACGAAATTTCTAGGCGACCTCAACTCAACCAAATGCTATTTTTATAGTAACACTTGTATATTGTGATGACTTTTCGGGTTTTAAAAAACCTATAAAATGACCCAATGACTTTCAAAAGGCGGCATGTCCGCAATAAATTTAACCCCATTTCTACACCTCTACAAGACGGATCAAGTACAAATACAGTGTTTGCCCTAAATACATACCAAACTGATCAGTTGATTTCAGTTTATACATGGTTTCTTTTACTCCTATAAGCAATTACTCTGAATATTCAGTCAACTTGAAATATGCACATACATTATTTATCACAAGTTCATCCCTAAGAAGGCATATCCCAACTACATGCTGACGTAAACATTCGTAATCATTCATTTTCACCGATGTAATGCATGTTAGATTTGTTTGAATCCTTTTAAGATCATTTCTCCGCGGTTTTGTTGATCAAACTGTTTGACAGTACCTTTTTATTCCGACACCATCATGTAATGGATTCGTTTGTAGTAGAGATTTTGTGAAGTAATAAAAACCGAAGAGTTTTTTTATGATTTTCCTTAGATAAAAAATAAGTTGATACAAATATTTTTAACCGGACATTGCCTTTGAAATGGGTTTCGATGTTCATTTAATCTCCACAACACTTCCCTGGCATAGTATGTTGAAGCTGGAGACAAATTTCTGTTGCGCGAGAGGTATTTACCAATACTTTGGTAAGGGTGAATATATTCAACTTTGTTGAAAAACCTGCCTGACCTCTGCCCAAAACATAAAGAAACGGTCTACAAAGTTTCAAATCTGAAATAGTCTGAACTGATTTTCTACTTCCCTGATCAGAACTTATAAAACCTGGACTTCTCACGTTTGTATTTTTTGTTTTGCCTCCGCAGTTTCGTAAATGTATTGCTAAACTCAAGCAACTCTTGATTCCAAATGAATTGCACTCCTTCTGGTTTAGATTTAAAGTCTAAGACATTAATAAAACAGTAACCATACCACACAAATAACTAAAAAATGCATGTGTAAGATAAGGGCCTTGTTGATCTTATCTATTATATTCTTTTATTTTGAAATCTATTATTATTTAATTTTTAGAACAATATTTAGCATATTAACTTAAATGTTATTGCCTTGTTTCTTAGTCTTTGGTTTTCTATGTTGTGTCATCTGTACTATTATTTGTCTGTTTGTCTTTTTATTTTTGGCCATGTCGTTGTCAGTTTGTTTTCGATCTATGAGTTTGACTGTCCCTCTCGTATCTTTCGTCCCTCTCTTGTATCTACCGCGATTTTGTCATTTAGACTTACAAAGTGTATTGCCTGTAATCTTTAAATTAAAATCAGTTCGCTTCATTTAGAAGTTTAATCTAATCATATAAATAAAACATTATTTTTGTAAAAAGTGATTTTATAAGCGACAAAAGTTAACTGATGGTCGAACATCATAAAAACCGAGAGAAAAGGGAAAGTGGTTAGTAGTTTCTTTAATGTTTAAATATTATGTTGGTGTATATAGAGTACCTATCACCGATGCAATATACTTGAACCATAAACATAATAAAAGTGGAATCAATTTTTTTCATAGCATAGGGTTACATTTTCATTACAAATATTTATAATCACCCATTTTATTTGTGTTGACCTTAATTGTATAAAATTGTTGTTTTTAAATATGACATAATGATGAATTGTATAGGATGCAAAATGTACCACTAATACATCATTATAGGATTGTTAAACACATTTTATAAAACTTTAAACTATATAGTCAAAATTACAATTACAGGTAAGTTGTTTAATTTTTGTACAAACTCAGAAATTTATTATAGAGTCACACACAATCACAAGAATATCAAAGAACATAATAGGTTTTGGTAATACTGAATATAAAAAGTTGATAAATTTACCTTGCGATCTGGCGTCTTTTATTCATAAATAAATGTTAAAAAATTCTAAGAGATGAAACATTTGTTATTTTTAATCAATTAAATTTAAATTATTCAACTTGTTCCGCAATAGGTTAACTGAATGGGTTTGAAAATTTATGGACTGGCAAAAGAAGTACACTTTTAAATGATAATGTAAATAGTGCATACGAGATCCTACATCACTTAGTCTATATTATGTCCACATGTAATCGATCTAGATATAAAGGTACCGCGATTTAATGCTGCGTCGACGGTCTGTGGTGTCAACTTATTGTGCCTTTGATCTAATGTTCGACAATTATTTTATAAAATTGAACATTTTCTTCTCAATTTAACTAAAAAATCGAAAATACAAGGGACTATATCTTTTTTCTATGCATTCTTTATTTGCAACGTCATCGGCTATGTCTTAAAAACACCCATTGTTGAGGGATTTTTTTCACAGTATTATTTGAGTTTTTTATATTAAGCATAAGAAATAAAGGCGAAAATGTTACATGTAAACTAATAAACATATAGTTTGATCTTTGTAGCAAACGGGGTAAAAATTAAGAGAAAGAAAATCTTGTGGATTGCAAATTTTAACAAAAACAACAGCTGGGTTATTTAATGGACACTTGGGTGATTGGTTATAAGACGTTCCACTGTATTTATTGCGTAAACAAAATAATAGATATAGAACTTCTCTGTTTTCGAAGGTTCGATATGTTCCTTGGTGCAGCTTTATTGAATGTTGCTGCTCTAACAAACTTCCTGAATGATGTATTACCACCGAGAGCATATGATCCTCCTGGAATATTTGATAGACCTCTGAAGCGGTATTATGATTATATTATCGGTAATAATTTACTATCAACAACAACTACCTCTTTTGTTGGCGTCTTTGTTAGATTAATTTGTATGTTTGTTAGAATTTTTAAGTCAGTTGTGTTGTATGTCTGTGATGTATGTTTACACAGTTTTGGCTGCTATATCTCATTTATTGTCACTATAACCTATAATATCGTTTGGTTGCTCACCCAATTTTGTTAACATAACGGAACTGTAAACTACTTTATACAAGTAGGAGCTTTATCTAGCTATACAAGTAGGAGGTTAGCTAGCTTTAAAATCAGGTTTAACGCACCAATACTTCGGAAAAATTTGTATTAAGTTAGGAAAATAACAGTTTTTTTTTACACGTTCCGTTTGTTGATAGCGTTTGATTAAGTCAGTTTTTATCGACTTTTTTTTTAAATTTACCTTGGAATTTCGATATTGTTGTTATACTTTGTTAGTACTATTCGTCAAACTGTTGAAATTCTTTTCGTTTTTGTTTTTGTTTTTGTTTTTTTTTTTTTGTATCTTGTCGTTTCTAGAAACCATACCCTTAACACATTAAGATACATACAAAATGTAAAATCATATGCCTGAATTTGATTTAAAAGTGAAATAAAAGAAATAAAAGAATATAGATCACTAGCCAATTTCTCGAACATTGGATGTATCGAAAGGAACCCGAAAGCAGACCACATATCAGGCAAACTTTATGTCTTTGTCAAACCTGGTTTTCGTATACCCCAATCTGCATTTTTCATTTGCAAACGATACTTTTTTCGACATGTTAGGAGATATCAATGGTAATCAGAAAATTATTAAAGGATACACGAACAAGACGATTAGTATAACTGACACAGAAAACGTAACTCTGACAATGACAGCATCAGTAAAATTAAGGTATGGCTCCTGGTTAGCACTAGTGAATGGAGGTATCCATTAATCTTTATAAGTATCATGTGTTTAAACATGTTAAATAGTACACGAGTTCATCCTGCCTCAATATATTGCGGTAAGGAGGAATCACAAGTCCAGCAAATGATAGTACATAAATCAAGATCAAATTTGCAAATAGCTGTATGGCGGACTGTAATTGATGAAATAACCTCATTATATATTCCCAGCTTATAACTGTGTACGCCACACGCCTAGGGACGCCATCGTCAAAAATGTTAAAATACCAAATAAAGTACGAAGTTTAAGAACATTGAGGAAGTCCAAAAGATTTTGCAAAAAACAGCTTAGGTAATCTATTTCTGGCGTAAAAAATACTTAGTCCTTCGGAAAATCCCGCATACTTTTGTGTTATTCTGTATATAGTAAGTTGTTCAAAGATGTAAGGCTAAGAATGTCATTTTTTTCAAGTTGGAGCTGGATCAGCAGGTGCTGTAGTGGCTTCACGGCTGTCAGAGGATCCAGTCTCTGTTCTCCTTCTAGAAGCCGGTGTTTCAGAACTTGAAAAGGAATTCTCAATTGTACCTGGGCACTATGGCAGATTGTTTGGAACAGAGGCTGACTGGCAATTCAAAACTGTTCCACAACGATACTCGCATTTTGCGCTAAAAGACAAGGTACGTCCTTACGTTTTAAAAATCATGTGATTTAAAAAGGATTAAACTCATACATATGTTTT